GAAAAACATTGCTGCCGTATTTCTGATATAGTTTTTTGCAAATTTCTCAGTTTTTAGTAACAATTAATTTATTTTACTATTTTTTCTGTACTCCTGTAACAGCGTCTGACAACACCTACAGAGGAATGACACCAATTCTGATTCACCCTGTATAGAAGAGAAGAGAAAGAGATATTTTTCTGACTGTATTTCAACTTAATTCAAAAGATATTCCTGGGTCCCAGTCAATTTTATTGTTTATCATTTAAAATGTTACAAATACGTTTCGGTGTTTTTCTCCACCATCATCAGTTTGTCTAAAATATGCATTTACAGTTGATATTAGTTTAAAACAAGAGCTCTGTTAAAATATACATACTAAAATATAAATTACAAACATATTAAAAAGTATATTAAAATCGTTTGAATCTCTTACAGGGATTACAGGTGATGAGTCAGGACAATCATGTTCGGGAAAAGACTAGAATTTATTGTTTAGAGATTTAAATTTTATTTACATGTATGGCTGTTTCCACCTTCTCATTTGGCAAGCCATTGAAAAATCTTTACTTCGTCTAATATCGAAGATATCGAAAGAATAAAAAAACTGTTTATAATATTTGGTATTTTTCTTTGCATTCTAAGGATATCACTTGGTCGGCATTTCTTCAATATACAAGGTGTTTGATGTTTTTTTAATTTGTATCAATTCATGTATTCTTCTCTTATTATAATTGTCTTCATTGATTAATATTTTTGTGTTATCAAAATCAGAACTATGTAACATTTGCTGTGCATGTTGTGCTAATGCTGTTCCATTTTCGTTAACCTTTCTTAAGCTATATTTATGTTCGTATATTCTTTTCTTTAAATATGGTTCTGTTTGACCTACGTATGCGCTATCACTGTTCAAACAGTCAATCTTGTATATTACATTAAGTGTGTTTAACTTATCACTTTTAGGCTTAAATTTTGTGAAACGTTCTTTTGCTAAGTTGTTTTTAGTTTTTTTCTGGTATAGTGATATTATGCGGTTTTAAAATATTTTTTATTTTTGTGTTAATTTCTGGAATATATGGTAATGATATATACTTGATTTCACCTTCTTTTTTCTTATTATTATTATTTATATTATCCCATTTATTGGAATTGTAGATTTTATTTATTCTTCGTTTTATGATTGGTTCGAAGAATGATTTGGGATAGTTGTTCATTATTAGCATCTTTTTTATCTTTTAAGATTATTTGCTCTATACTCATAATGTGCCAATTTAATTGCAATTAAACCACTTTTTGAAATTTTTAAATCAACTAATTTATAATTTAAAAACGGTTGATTTGACACCTTAAAGTGTACATGCAAATTTGTAACTTTGTAAATTGTCCATCTAATGACGTGTTAATATACAGGTACTTCCATTTGAAAAATAAAAGTTATATTGCTTTAAAAAGTTTTAGATGGAAGTCCACATTTTTAACACCCTGTACAATTTATTGATATTTTGGTTAAATAGAATTCTTAACGGATCTGTGGTTATTGCAAAGGCGTATTTTTTTGCATCTCTAACTGCTTTTTTTTGCTTCTACAATGAATTTTTAGATACCATGTTTTTAAGCGAAATTTTAGTAAAATGGCGATAATCTGTCAACGTCGCAAGTAAGAAAAAACAATTTACGGTGCATATACAGCGTTTCAAGCTGCATCCCATGAGCTAATGAAGAATGGGTAGTTCTATTCAAAAAAATTACTTTTATCTTGCCTCACTTTTCTGAGACAGTCGGTATCATACAAGATATTGTTAAAATGTGCATCAACAACTTTTACATAAAACTATAAAAAATATATAAAAAACCACCCTGTATAAATACAAAAAATATTATGTACTAAGAAAAAATATTATTAATTTATTTGTTTGATGCTAATTAAATATTAAAAACAAATACTTTTTATAATATTTATAAAATATTTCCTTTTGCTATGAAATATTTACCATTAATTAATCATTCAAAATTGAGGTAATATGTTTTACAGTGTGTTTACACTTATTGAAATTAATGTATTAGTAACTTTTTGGGTGTTAATGGTGTTATATATTGTTACCAAAAATATTATGTACCAAGAAAAATAATTATTAATTTATTTGTTTGATACTAATTAAATATTGAAAACCAATATTTTTTTATAATAATTAATAATTAAAGTTTTTAATTTCAACCATTTCATCGGTGTTAAAATGGTTTAAACTCCTCACCAATCGCGCCGGTCAGCTGGGCAGAAATTACGTCAAATATTACTACCACATGGCAACAGCGCACGGGGCCCCGTTCAGTAAATAGACATTTGTGATATACTTTATCAATACAAAAAAGCTTGGTTAGTTTTCGGAATTTTTGTAAATTAAATATCTATTAACTGCTAAGTATTTTATTCGGTGCGGGTGTTTTTCGAGTGTTACACGGTTACGTTTAATGCGCGATTTACGATCGGTTTTCGGGTGTATTTTACGGTCGAACTTTTGTGAAACATGGAACTTGGAGAGTGGCGCCGTAATATTTTGTTACAATTGCAAAATAGGAACAGAAGTGAAACACACCGGTTTCAGGATTTAATAGCACAACGTAAGCTTTTTAATTAATTATGTGTTATGTTTAGAACTTTGCGGAAGAAGCAAGATTTTCTTTATTTACGACAATAGCTGATAACTTTCATTTGCACTTTCGTTTATTTTAATATCACAGATTTTGAGATTGATTCCATACATGCATTATTCTATTGGCACCTGATTTGATAAGCCTGTACTTACTAATTGCTATATTCCATACGGACTCATTTATTTATATATACTTAAGTACTTTATGGCAAAATTCAACAGCTTTCACATAAAATAAACGGTAACTGTGAAAGGTGTGTGTTCCGTTTGAACGATTGAACCGTGGTGACCGACCCCCTAGTGTGCACCACAGGCACTAGCGAAGTGTGCCTACCCTTGAGCGATAAATTAAAAAGAACCAAAAAGAGTCGAAAGCTAGAGTCAAAGAAAAGAAGTCGAACATTAGATATAATCGAACACATGTCGCGGTGCCGACAACCGACTACCATTCAAAATACGTGTAAAATCTGAGTTTGAATGATTAAATGTATTGATTTAAAAAAAAGTGTTTACAGTCCACTAACCGAAAATCAAACAATCGCACAAGCAGTGTGCGACTTCGCTGCCGCTTTTGGCTCACTATATTAAAACAATGTAATTTATCTCATTTCTAGCACTTTTTATTTGAAACTTTTTTCCTTAAAATGCAGTTTTCGGCAAGAATTAGGTACTATGTTTTGTTTGGGAAAATATGCTTAATTAATGGCCCATTGCACCGTCGTATTCTAATTAAGTTTTAGCGGTAAACCTGGTTTAGCTAGCCTTTTGAATTGCATCGTCAGTTAAACTTGGTTCACTAGCTCGAAGGGCCGGTCGCACAAAAGTAAGTTTAGCTACGGTTCAGCCAGTTATCGCAGAACCGAGCTTACTCGCGAGCGGTTGTACCCAGGACCAGACTGAGAAATCGCGATGTCGCCAACTATCGGACAAATGTTACCAAACATCGCCAGTTTTGGCGCCGAGTAAATTCAAAAAGGGTAAACCAATAAAAACAAATGAACGGTTTAAATTAAACAAGTACTTTCGTTTTTCTAACAAGTTGAATTGAAATTATTAACAGGGTGATTCAAAATTGGCGTCATTCCTTTTAAGGGGTGATAGAGGGGGAGTACGAGAAAAATATTGAACATGTTTTTTTCGAAAATTTCTGAGATATTAACAGTTGAAAATCGAATTTTATCTTTGTTATTAAGCATTATTTTGAAATTGTTCCATGTTTAATTGGTAGCATATTGGAATAGTTAAGCATTCAAAAAGAAAAAAATACGATATTTGCTTCAAATGACGAACATTTTTGATATTAAAAAAGTTCTCTTCTACAATTTTTTGATGAAAAGTCAAAGCGGCAATGATGTTTTTTGTCATTAACAAAAAGTTACAGGTGGATAGCTCTTATCAATAATAACAATAATTTGTCAAACTGTGACTTACTTTGAATTTCCTTTCACGAATTTGCGAATATCCGATTAGTTCATCGGAAATGCTACAGTAACATAGCAAAAGCTGAAAGAACTCACGCGAACAAATGGCGAGGAGAGTGGTTCCAGGAAGATAGTGGACGACAATCGATGTTCGGGTTCCAAGCACAGAGGAACAAGTATTGGACGTAATCGAATCAGGGCCTTCCAGGGGCACTCAGAGCACAATAACTGACACTTTCCCAGGCACCAAATAAATACCGGCTACATTCCTACCACGTTTGTACGATACACACAGCAGAAGGAGATACAAATGGAGCAGGAGTTAATTAACTGAATACGAGAAGCTGCTTGATAAGAGTGGATAATAAGGAGATTACACAGGCACTAGCTTGTTTGGAATTAATCATTCAAATGTTTGGTGTTGTATGGTTTATTTTTAAACACCAATATTCGAGGTTATGAGAACAGGTTGACATTTTGAAAGTACGTTGCGCAGTCAACAAATCTTGTTGAATTTACCGTTTATCCTTGTCTATCTTATTGTCAGTCTGTATAATTCCATGTTTACCGGAGTTTTAAATAATTACTAAGGAACAGGTATTTGCGCAATGTTAATTAGGCAGATTACCTTGAAAAACATTGCTGCCGTATTTCTGATATAGTTTTTTGCAAATTCCTCAGTTTTGAATAACAATTAATTTCTTTTACTATTTTTTCTGTACTCCTATAACAGCGCCACACAACACCGCCAGAGGAATGACGCCAATTTTGAATCACCCTGTATGTTTACTTGTGCGTCTAAAAGACGGGGTGATTCACCTGTCGATGGCGTATTAGACGTTTAAGGAGAATGCGATGCCCGATATATCTGCAAATTTGTACAATTAAGTGCCGTGCACACGAGCGTTTTTTAACGGTGCGGTGACGCGACGTCTTCGCACCGTAAAAACCGGAAGTAATTAAAAAACTTTGCTTTGTCGGTCCTGAGATCCCCAAAATCGCGAGCAAATGCTCCTTTTAATGCATGAGAAGTCACATATATGGTGAACCCAATAATTTCTTTTCTTTTTACAAATGTAAAATTTGTAACCGTAATACGCAAGCAAAACCTGTTGTTCATTATCGACCTTCATGCGTGCACTAAAATTGCGTTATGTCGAAATAAATCTATCATAAAATATGCGTAACCGCAGCGTCAAAATACGCTAGTGTGCACCGGCACTTAATTATACAAATTTGCAGATATATCGGGCATCGCATTCTCCTTAAACGTCTAATACGCCATCGACAGGTGAATCACCCCGTCTTTTAGACACACAAGTAAACATACAGGGTGATTCAAAATTGGCGAAAACTGCTCCGAAAAAAGTTGTTGGCGGCACCGCACCGTTAAAAAACGCTCGTGTGCACCGGCACTAAGTCATCGGATATGCTCTATCGGCCTAAATTATTTTCAGCAATGCGAGGGTGCCGCTCATACCGAAAAGTACATACAATTTTGATATTTTAAATGGACACCCTGTATATTATTGCACGGTTAGATTGTCTATATAGATATTATCATTTTTGCATAACAATCCCTATATCTATCTAAAGCGGTTTCCGAAATATTAAATAAAATTCATTATTTTTAATCAAAACGTAGCCCCAAGGAATCTTGTATTACAACGCGATTTCGATACCTCAAAATTTAAAATTGTGGTACTGGGTTAGGAAAACCCTATGCTTGAGTACGGCGTACAGCAATTTGTTCCAAATTATACAGGACGTACTGACCTTTCGGCTAGAGATAAAAACTGTTCCAATTACATTTTTTCAAATAGAACACCCTCTATATTAGTTAAAATACGGGAAGACCGTTAAATTCCCTGTGAAACGATATAGCATGTTTCTATACCTAGTGTGAAATTTCCGAAATAAATGAACATTTTTGCAAAAATTCAATTATGTCGACGTATTTATCAAAATAGCCATGAAATGTCATAATAGTTGCAGATTTTGCAATTCTTCATAAAGTTCTTAAAGAAAATCTCATTTTTGTGAACTTGTACGGATACATTGCATGCTTGATCAGGATCCTTTGAATGGCACTATAGGCTAAACCCAAATCATATGTGGCACTACGGAATAGAAGCTTGAGGATATGCACGGAAGTACGCTAAAACATTTACAATGCTGTCTTCATCAGAAGTTACAGATTTTAGTAAATTCGGTTTAGCTTTCAGTGTGGTGCCATAATTAAGGAAATTGTGTTGTATTCGCACAAATTTCATTGCATTCTTTTGCTTTAAATTTGGAAACATTTCGTTGAATTTTCTGCATGTCCTTGCAACAATTTGGTCACATTGTCCATGAAGAAGAAGCAGTTTCATTAAAACTTCGTTTGAATTTGTTTATGAGTCTGAATTGAAGTTGAACTGAACGGTTGCTCTCCATTTTGTGAATAATTAAGTCTAAACTGCATTAAAAAGTGTATAAAAGTTTTCTCTATTATTTGTATTATATTTTATCTTATTATATAGAATTATATCTTATCTTTGCTGACTTGACAACTGGTTTTAAGAATTTCAAGTTTCTACTATTATGACATTTCATGGCTACTTTGATAAATACGTTCATAAATACGATTCGTAATCGAATTTTTGCAATCAAAATGTCCATTTATTTCGGAAATTTCACACTTTAGGTATAGAAACATGATATATCGTTTCGCAGGGAATTTAACGGCCTTCCCGTATTTTAACTAATATACAGGGTGTTCTATTTGAAAAAATGTAATTGGAGCCGTTTTTATCTCTATCCGAAAGGTCAGTATTTTCAAGACATTCTGTATAATTTGGAACAAACTGCTGTACGCCGGGCTCAAGCATAGGGTTTTCCGAACCCAGTACCGAAATTTTAAATTTACAGTGATCGAAATCGCGTTGTAATACAAGATTAGTAGGGCTACGTTTTGATTAAAAATAATGAATTTTATTAAATATTTCGGAAACCGCTTTAGATCGATATAGGAATCGTTATGCAGAAATAATCAGATCTATATCCCAATCCAACCGTGCAATAATATACAGGGTGTCTCATTTAAAATAGCAAAGTTGTATGTACGTTTCGGTATAAGCGGCAACCTCGCATTGTTGAAAATATTTTAGGCCGATAGAACATATCTGGTGACTTCGTTATACAAATTTGCAGATAGATCGTGCATAGCGTTCTCCTTAAAGGTCTAATACGCCATCGACCGTGAATCACTCTGTATATTAATGAGACAAATTATTTTCCCGAGTCATTTTCTCGCGCATCAAATTCTCGAAGTGGGTGTAACATTTCAGTTTCTTCTTGTTCATACTCTAAGTCAATCGCTTTGACTTTACTATCAGTATTTCGTTCTTGATTTGTCATTAATTGTCGTTTGATGTAAAATCTTTAATCATGTCAGTAGTAGAATTAAAATTCTACATTCTATTAAACCGCATATATTATGTACATAGAAATGCATCTTACGTTATAAACTAAATACTTTTAGCGGGTATATTTCTCGATTATCTAA